CAATAATAGCAGACTTTTGCACAGCTGGTTGTGCTTTACCTCTTGTCTTTCTTATACTCAAGTGAATCAGGGAGGCGTTTGTCTGAACCATTTCTGAATTTATTTATTATATTTATATGCTGCCTGTCTCCATTTCCAAAGTGGCTCTGGGTGGCTGACTGGGGCTTAAAGAATGTTTTGGAATTCTTTGCCTAAGTAATGGTTTGTGCATATTTCAATCAAGGTCATTTCACTTACACTCTACAATTGCTTCGTACAATAATGAAAAATTTGTAATCCTAAAACCCAACCAAGGCATTCTAATAATATAACACACCAATCCTGAGCTGTGTATATTGCCTACTATCAAGACTATATTTATTTTAAAGCCCTGACCATGAGAGCTAAAAGAGGCATGTGTGCGTGCATTAATCCATTTTCCAAATCATTAGGTGTATTCAGCATTCACTCTCTGATCTTTGCAATGTCTTGTCTGCTTCCCACTTCTTTACATAAAAGCATCACTGCTATTGAGGTATGTGATATGCTTATGCTTAACAGGGCTTGAAAATATGCTCCCATATACTGTACAAGGATGAGCACTTTTCTAAGAGCTATACACATTTGACTCCTCTTATTGTAACACTTTAATAATCCTCTTCACTATTATGCTTGAATTCTATGGTGATTCGACATTATTAATCTGTCTTGTGCCATAATTTCCATTTCACTACCTGACAGTCTTTCAGACAAAAATGTGTATGGTTGTTACATGATCAGTTCATCAATTTAAGATTTGGAATTAAGATGAGGATTCATAAAAGTTAATAGCAATTGGCAAAATGTAGCTATATTACCCCTTCCCTATGAACAAAGAGCAGACATAACAACTAGGGAATAAAATTAAATGCAACATCAAATCCTTATTTGATAACTCACTAGTAGCAGACTGTGCAAAAACTATGCATAGGTAATTTATCTGCTGCAGTAGCTGATAATCCAAAGAAACTAATACATTTGAAGAATTCTCTTCTAATCAAGCCAAGGGCAAGGAACTGTTAGTGCTCCATTCATGTAGTTTTGCTCAACAACAATAGCACACTGTATTGTCTCCTTCTGGAATAGTTTTTTCTACTTTCAATAGCCTACATTTATAGAATCCCCATGTTGTCTCTCATATAAATAATAACCAGGTATAACCCAGAGTGAACTTTCTAAAATCAACCTCTGGCTGCTGGATACAGCCACCTAGTGTGTAGCATTTTGTCTATCATGATCCAACTTTCATATTGACTCTTTCCCTAAATTATGAACAGCAGTAAAGAATTAGGACATTATGCTAAGTCACCAATTGCGTTTTATGACCTAGAATGAATCAATTTACACAGCAAGCACTAAGCCCCCATATATGATATGGAGTTCTGTGTTTAGCATTTGAAGCTAAAAAAGAGAGCCCCCTTGGGATGCCTTTAATTCAAAGGAATGATGTCAGTGGGTGATATCCCAGGTGAATCCCAAGGAACAGAAAAATCTTTTCTTTTTGGACTGCTTCTCCTTGTGTGACCTGTTCCAGTAAAAGAAGACAGCTGTTGCCATAGTTGTGCAACATTAAGCAACCAAATTAGGGCTGCTTGGAGAAAACTAGCAGCCATCCTGATTGTCGCAAACTTATCCTGAAGTCACAGAACAGTCAGTTCTCTCTCTCTCTCTCTCTCTCTCTGTCTCTCTTATAAAACACCAGATTTTTTTTCATTGTTGCATGTAAGTTAACTAAGTCAGAGTGAAACTACAAAATGAACATCAGTGCATCAGTTAAAAGGGGATTAATGAGTTCAGTCTGACTTTTTCTATTTGGCAAGCTTAAGGCAAATATTTAGAATTTATAATATATTAATGATAAATAACAGTCTATATTTTTACTTGTTATTTGGGAATCATTCAGAATCTTGTAACCTGATAATAGGAGTTGCCTTCGGGGTGGATATCCCCTTTTAAACTGGGTCTACTATGTGTCTAAAATATAGTAAGCTGCTTCTCATAAAAGAAATGAAGGCTATTTGAACAAAAAAGCTATGCATCTATTTTATTATGCCAGATTTATTTTACTGATAAGACGATCCTGTATCTGCAGATTTCATCCAGGTTTTTTTTCCCCCAGAACATAAACAATTTACCCCTTTGTTAATTTCCCCATTGGTACAATAGGTTTGGATTTTCAGAAGCAAATTAGGAAAAAAAATACACTCAGCAAAGTGGTCCAACATGAATTGAACCTCAATTTGGAAAGCCTTGATTCAGAGTAAGGTCTTAGCATCACTGCATTATCTTGGACACCAATCATCATAGCTTGCTTGGATTTAGTTTAGAATTGTATGGGAAATCAGGAAGACATTTCTTTCTTGATGTTATTGCTGTGATTATTGTATCCTGAGGCCTTAATGTTATAGTGTAATTAGAATAGAATAGAATAGAATAGAATAGAATAGAATAGAATAGAATAGAATAAAACTGGAATGGACCTTGGAGGTCTTCAAGTCCAGCCCCCCCCCCCCCGCTCAAGCAGGAGAACCGATACCATCTCAGGCCACATATTATGGCTAATCCATACAAACTAAAATTTAGTCCTAAGCAGTGCTTTTTTTCTATATATATAAAAAAAGATGCCGGAACTCACACACGTCATACAACCCGCCTTGCCTACCCTATAAGGTTCCATCCAAAAAAGGTGCCGGAACTCCGTTCTGGGCGTTCTATGAGGAAAAAAAAGCCCTGGTCCTAAGTATATTTCAACTCCCAGAATTCTCCCAGCCAACAGAGGTTTCTGGAGCTGAAGTCCACACAGCTTAAAGTTGCAAAACTTGAGAAACCCTGGTGCATGCTCTAAGTCTGTAAGGAAGACTATAGGGCCATAGTCTGGTAGGAAATTTCATTTTCCCAGAATCCTTTAAATGAGTATTCTTTAATTCCTTGGCTATAATTTTCTAGTGATGCAGATACAAGGTGCTGGAGTCACAGAATCTCCACAGCCTTGTCTGTGCTTTAAGAAACAGTTCAAATCTTTCCGATGTTCTGCTTACATGGAATTATTTTTGTGCTTTAAGGTTAATAGGTACTCCTTCCAAGGAATCTGTGTCCTTTTTTTTCTTTCTTGAATATCTTGAACAATCTTTGAAAACAGCTTTAGGTCAGATATGTAAATTCTTTATGCTAAGTCTCATTGATTTTTGTAGCCTGCTTGGCTTTTATGAGAAGCCAGTGAATTAAGAGCTCTTTCTGTGACAGAAAGAGCTGCTGGTATCATTCTAGATGGCAGCAGACACTTTTTTAGATGCCAACTTAGTCTGCTTTTCTGGTGATATGACCACGCATATTAAAAATTAAATGCAGACTGACTTGCATTTGCACTTAAAACTCCAAGCTATGAGTCTTTGGAGGCAAAAAAAGGGAGAAAGCACTAAACTGTGATCTTAAAAGTTTGTGAGCCAATATTTAAAAAGCCAGAAATGCCCTTACCCAAGTGATCCTTTCTTCCTCATATTTAGCACAGTTGGCTCTCATCTGCAGTATCAAATGAGCAAGAATTTATTTGTTTTTAAGACAAGCCGGTGCCAATGTTCATGAATAGCAGGTGGGCTTTCTTTCAGTGATCCTGCTGGCTATCCTGAACGATTTTGTTATGTTTTTCCCCCCATTCTATCATATTAGGATATACTCTAATTTACAGTCATCTGGGTTGAATTGTCTGATCAGTTTCAGAAACTGTGCTAGCTAAGCACAAATACTGTACATTGCTAGTATTTTTTTATTGATTATGTGGCATCAAGTCGGCGTTAATTGCTAGCAACCACATAGACAGACTTTCTCCATGACAATTTGTTCCTAACTGGTCCTTCAAGTCTTTCAGCAATGCATTCATCACCATTCTGAGTACATTCACCTTGCTGCTGATCATCCTCTTCTTCTCTTACCCTTTATCAACCATTTTATATTCACTATCCATGTGATTTTTCCTGATAAAATTACAGGAGTGGCTTGCCATTGCCTCCTCCCACACAGTATGAATTGATGCCTCCACCTTGTCACTGTCTCTGGCATCTTCTTGTATGTCACTACTGTTCAATATAACTACTTGCTTGTTTTAGCTGGACAGCTGAGATAACCTTCATGTCTTGGGTGACCTTGCTGGGAATATATATCCTTGACATAAACTTCCAGTATTCTTCACTCATCCCTGTTCCCACCATGATGAGATAGCACAGCAAGACTTGGGAGACAGTTATTGCTACAACAAATAATAATAATAGACGCCATATTGATAATTTGGGGAAACAAGAAACATTTGATGTTTTTCTCTCTCTTCTGCAGTTAGTTTTTAATAACAACAACAACAACAACAACAACAATAATAATAATAATAATAGAGTTAGAAGGGACCTTGGAGGTCTTCTAGTCCAATCCCCTGCTCAGGCAGGAAACCCTATACCATTTCAGACAAATGGTTGTCCAGTCTCTTCTTAAAAACTTCCATTGTTGGAGCATTCACAACTTCTGGAGGCAGGTTGTTCCACTGATTCCACTGATACTAACTTTTATTCTCCCCACAAAGACAACTCAGCAGTACTCTGTGGTCACTGAGTAATCAGAATGCTATTTCCCGGTATAAAATTTTGCTACTGTAAAAAGAGTAATTGAGAATGCTGATTTTTGGATTCCTCAAGTCGAGAGTCTTCTATTATCCCCCACCTTAGTTTTGATGATGCTATTTTTCTAGGACAGTGAAAAATTAGAGTGGGGTGGGGGAGAACAAATATGCAGCTATAGTACCTATACCCTCTGAAGTGATACAATACTTAAGATATTATTGGAGGAAGAAATAAATGTTAAATAATACAATGATGAGAAAAGGGCAGCAAAGTATAATCATGTTTTTCTTTATATTGCCTTTTGATGCATTAAACAGCTTCTACTTAAATACAATTTGGATATATGCTTTGACTTGACTGTAGCTTTTTGTCTTCTAGTGATGGATGGGCAGATAGAGATGAAGTCATTGAAGGTTATGAAGCTGAAGCAAGTGGAGGCATCACAATTAAGCTGCAGTCTCCAGAAGTCTTATCATTTGATGATTACTTTTTGAAAATAAGACTGGAGACCAACAAAAGAAATCCTTGGTTCCCTGAGTTTTGGCAACATCGTTTCCAATGCCGCCTGCCAGGTCATCCTCTAGAGAACCCCAACTTTCAAAAGAATTGCACTGGTAAACATTTAAATATGTTTCTTGTCTGAATAAGTCTGAGCAAGTTTTTGTTACCTTCATCAGCTAAATTCCTTGCCTTACTTTTCCAACTAGATTGAATAAAAACATTGATGGAGGTATGGAACGAGCCCCACAATACAATGTTGTTGTGGCTGTCAGCAGGGTGCTGTGCTATTGGACAGCCTCCAGTTTGCCACTGGTACTTTGATGAATAAATGAGTCAACGAGTGAATGAATGAGTTCAGATCCTTGCATTCTAGGGGTGAATGTTCAAAGATGGTACATAATAATATCTGGTGTATTTAGATGTCCCCTGGCTCTGTGCTTAAGCAATTCTTAATTGCTTTTTTCTTTCTGCTGTGCTGAAGCAGAAGTTTTTGACTGATTCTGAATTGAATTTGTAGGTGGTAAAAAAATAGAATAAAGGCTCGGTTTGATTGCTAACAAAGCTTTGGACTTTTTTTTCTTTGGAGTTTCATGTATGATGTTAAAATGCTTTTGAGCATCTTATATACAGTTTGTGTTCACATTGAAAGGTAACCTTGAAACTGATAAAAGTATTCAAAAATTAGCTGTATAGTGTGACCAAGGGTTTACTGGTACATCACAAAGTGAAAACAAAAAACTACTGTTGGTATTGTGCAGTAATATGCCAACAATGTGATAAGATTCTAAAGACTACTAAATCTTTGTAGCTGCAACTAACATAAGTGAGTATTAACATTATTGTTCTTTAGAAGTGATTTGTATGAAATGCCACACTCTACTTCTTACACTGAACTTAGAAACTTCTGTTTCTGTTAGCTACAAACTGAAATTTATACCTCCATTTTAGATGATCAAAAGGAATTATCTGGAATTCTTTCAGATCATCAGCTTCATACCATGAATGAGCTAATACGTTTATCAACTCCTGCAGAAGATTTAACATGCTTCTTCTTGGATTACAATCCATGATTTTTGGTGGTACAGTAATGAAAATTGTGTTTTAATCAGCATGTAAATAAGGATTAGGCTGGTTTAGTCAGCATGTAAGTCATAACACAAGGGGGGTTTTGGCCTAAGTTGCCATTCCTGCCCTAGACAAACTTAATAGTTTGTTTAAACAGTCAGTGTAGCAGAAAAAGCAAAGTGGAAATAAATGGGATGTACACCCAGGAATATAAGAAAATAAAAGATTTAGGTATAAGCCAAGGGCACTCTGTTTCCCCATTTACCAATGCACCTCAGGGATGCATTCAAATAAACCATGAGGGCAATGGTATATTCCTGATTTTGACAGTATGTTGCTTAAAAATATGATATTAATATATATCATTATGTATCCAAGCAATGGGGAAGAATGAGACTGCAAAGATATATGGGAGACTATTATCCCAAGACACAGGAAATTTCTATTGTGGCTGTGTATTTTATGTTCTATTATTTTGTGAGTTGCACAGGATTATGGTTCATAATAAGAGCTGCTATATAAATGAATCAACCAAGATATACTGATAAACATATCTTCTGTGGATTTATCTAATTGCCCTTTAAAGCTGAGCATGTTGATAACAATCACTAGCTGGGAAGTACTTCCTTTATCTGTCCCAAACACTCCACAATTCAACTTCATAGAATGAGTTTTCCCTATCTAAAATCTTTCATGCATATGTTTATATGCCTGAGTCATGTTCTTCTCCCACAGCATTTGTCTATGTTAAAAAGCCTCAAACCTTTTCTCCAAAGGAAGCTATTCTGCTTGCTCTAATGTTTGTTGATTTTTATTTTTATTTTATTTTTGCATTTTGCTATTCTTACAATTCTGTCATGGTCTATATCTTACATCATGTTCTAATACAAATTAAATTGATTAATAATAAAAAATACTTATATAAAAAGGATGTAGATTTTATTTCGGTAATTTCAGTGTGCATGCTAATCAAATATCATAGTGTTACTGATTCAATCTTTTCACTAAGTGAAGTTGAGGCCTGAAGAAAATGGCATTTTTCATTTTTCTTCCCCACTACTCAGTGTGGTTTACATTGATTTTTGGTTATGAGGTTATAGTTTTCATTGAAAAAGAATTCATCCTTTCTTGAAGTTTGCTTGACTTCACTGAGTTCAACTTGTAGTCACAGTTGACTGGATAAGTGTCATTGTGACCTAATAATTGATTATATATAATTTCTGCATATTGTTCCTGGTTTCTTCTCAGATTATTGTTGCAGACAAAAAATGGGGATAGGCACTTAGAAAAAATAACTGGCACAACAAAATATTAGATGAAAATGTCTTTGAAGATTTTCTTTTCTTAAAAAAACTAACAATTTGTGGAAAATATTTTACATCCAAAGTTTGGTAGAGAAACAGTACAGATATTTAATATTGAAAAAATGTATTTTAAGAGCAGATGCTATAGACAATACATGAATAAATACAGGACATAGTATGTCAGGTTAACCTATGAGAATAGCTCCAGTTCTCCGGGCAAGTGTAGACCAATTTCTCGAATGGGAGGCCACTAACAATCCAATAGAAGAGCTCTAATAAATTACATAATAAATAAAAGGGGTCTAGTAAACCCCTTTCTTAGAGGAGATGAAAAGAGAAGTAGAATGGCTGCTGATATACCCATTATTGAAACCATGAATGCTAACTGCAACATGCAGGATTTCAAGTTCAGGACTAAGGACAGTTCCAGTAGTATATTTCACTCAGTGTCTATGGAAATTCTCAGTCATTCAGATAATAATTGCCTCAAAGGTACTTTTTTTCTTCTTCTAAAGGCAACTGGACTGTTTTTGAGGAAGAAGTCATTTCACTTCTCATCCAAGAAATTGCATCAGTTGATTTTCACCCAGTCTTACAGTTGATTCTAACTGATTATTATTTCATAGTACTGGTTTTATTTATTTTATTATATGGTCCCGTATACAATTTAAATAATAGTTCTGTAATTATGGTAAAGACAAATTACCCTACTACTAACTTCTGCCCCTTCTTCATGGAATGTAATTATACAGTTGAGTGCCCCAATAGGCAATTTACTGAAGACCTGAAGCTTGGTGGGGGATATTCCACAGGGTTTTCAAGATTACATTCTCTGAAATCCTTCCCTCTGGTTCAGATGGCAGTGGTATTTTCCTGGGATGTTTGCATGAATACGAAGATCCAGTATGGATAGTCTCATCTGACAAGGAGCAGGGATCACCGTTTTTTCCCTCCAGGCTATTACCAGCAATTTTGCAAGATGTTTCAAAAAGAGAAAAATTTAACAGGAGATTATTATCAGCTTGCCTGTATATCTATTCAAGACCTTCATAAAACATTTGCCTGGAAACAAGATACTAGAATAAATGAACCTTGTGGCTTTTCCCCACTAAGACTATTTGTAGTGTTGCATACTTAGGTTGTCTCGGATCCCCTGCTATTTTCCTCTTGTGCATAGCTGGTACCATGCTGACTACATAAGCAGTGGCATTTCTCTTTGAAGTCCACAGTAGAGGAAGAGAAAATTTTCCCCATAATGTCATTCTAATACTTTATCTAACTGCTATTTTATATGTTGGGAAGAAAGGGGGATTGTTCATAACTTAGTGAGAAGCAGGAAATAAAATGGAAATGTATGAGGGAAGGGTTCCGTTCAAAATAATTACATGAACATGCTGTGCTTGTACTTTTCTCCCATGAAAAGGCCTACTGTAGCAGATAATTGTTCTAAACACTATTTTAATGTTTTTTTAAAAATCAGAAAAAAATAGTGTGCATTTCTGCTTCACCACGTGTTGATACACTTTTGCAGCAATGGAGAACAAGAATAAAAATTTCTTTCTTTCTCAGGTTTAACTTGCCAGGAATTCTGGATGTGTTTTGAGAATACCTCTGGCCTATGCAGCGTGGTTTTCATACAGTATTAGGCCAACCTGCTTCGTATGCAAACATTATTTGAACTCATCACTAATACAATGGCCTTCTCATTAAATTAGATTTTATTTTTGGATAAAGGGCACAGTGTCGTAGTGGGATATCTGTGTTTCAAACACCAGCTGCTTTAGAGGCACATTTCAAGAACCTGCAATTGTATTTTTAGTGTGCCCAAGAGAAATCTCTTTATCTACTGTGCAATTTCATAAAACTATTCCAAAGTTGGAAGTGACCTGCTTTGCAGAGCATCCCACTAGTACTATCACAAAGTGAACATTTGGTGACCAAGGGAAAGGACAAAAGAGCATCATGGGATTGTTTGCATCTCAGGTGTTGTATTCACAATGTCTAAGAACCACAAACTTGGGATTTGAACAAATTCAAAAGAATGAGTAATGTGAGTACTCTCCTCAAAGAAAGATGGTGAAATTTTAGGAGCAGAAAATAACAGGCTATTATATATAGTGCAGGAACTGAAATGGCTATTCTTCAGAAAAGAATAATAGAGAACTGAAGTATTGAATTAAACTAGAAGCTGAGCATATAACTGGAATAGTTACAGCACCTCGATAAAAATAATACTCCATTTGGTAGCTTAAAACAAAGAGGTGGTCTGGTTGTTTAATTAGGATGTGGTTGTTCTTTTTTTTTTGCTGTTTATAGAGGTGAAGTTTATCCTTCAATTAAAGAGAATATATGTAGCGCAGATTGAACTATGGAGTCCATGATACTCTATAGTTTGGTTGTTTGCTTTCAAATGTTTCATTAATCCAACTATGTAACATCATCAGTGCAATTAAGTATGGGGGTTTGCTCCTTGTTTAAATACAGCAGCTTGCCTTCTCAGTTTTGGTGGGGATGTGGTTTTCTTCTTGGTAGTTCCTGATTAGGGTATATTTTTCTGCTTGCTTGTTTGCCTAGTATTAATCCCTGCTTATCTAAGTGTTGGCTGCTGAAGAGAATGTGTTCTGGTCTTTTTGTTTCCTCCTAGTTTTCTTAGTGTCTCTTATTGTCTCGTATGGAAATATGATTTATTTCTATCTGTCTACTGATGGATGATTTGTCTGAATCCCAAGCTTCCAGGAATCCCC